TATACAGCATTAAATTAAGATAAATAAAGTTTGGTTCTACACCAGAAACACAAACTATCTATTATGCTTACAAAAAAACATCTTAAAATATAAATAGAAGTACAATTAGCATCAAGCCACATTTGAAAATGTATGTAATTATTAGTGTATATGCTTAAAACCCACTTTAAACCATCATCGAGTGCTTGTAATAACTTCCGATTGTGATCTATAGTTGATTTTGATTCTATAATAGAATATGCACACAGAATAGGCAGACATGCACTCTTTGTAGGCTATGTTTAATAACGCCACACTGCTTATTGTCATAAACATCCTTTATGGTTATAAAAATACCATTTGCTGTATACAAAACACATACAGAAAATATATTGCCATAATCATATGTCTACTTGCTTTGATATTTCATGTATAGAAAAATGTTTCACTCGATTTTTTTAATACGTAATATCTAGAGAGTAAACGCTTTCTGACTCAATACTCGCGCACGTGGAAGAAAACGGACACTCCAGATCACAATACAGTGGCGAATTAATATAAATTATATTAAGAACGTGAGAATAAATCTGTTTTCAGATACCAAAGATAACAAGAACTCGGCATCCATTCTCTTCTCTCTCTCGGGATACTCTTCTTCTGTGTTTGTTTACACTGGTTTTCGAAACGGCGCCACCACTCTTGCCTTTTTGTGCAACAGCAGCTGCTCCAAGCATGTGATCTAAGCTCAAATCTGATTGGACGGCCTGTGTTTTTGCTTTGCGAAACTGAAAAGATTTGTCGGACTGGTTCGGAAAAAAACATTCGCATTTTCGGTGTGCTAATGTATTCGGTCTATGTGGAAGCATCCATAGGAATCTGTTGTTTTATTCCAGTGTGTCATCGCGTCCGATATTCGTTTCGCTTTTTTGCGCTCTGTGTGGAAAGGCCTTAAAGGGGTCATATGATGCTGCTAAAAAGAACAGTATTTTCGTTTGGGCGGCGTTATGCAAATCTTCTCACATCGTGACGTAGACATGTGGGGTGTGTTAGAACGAGCCGTTTTAGGTAGGCGTGGCTGACTCTTAACTTTTATAAAGAATATCTCTTTGGATTTGAGACTTTAGTCTTTGCAACTTTACAGATCTTCTTTATGCACCAAGAGCTTGTAACACTCCAAAGAGAAAGGAAAAATTGAAATCGCATCATATGACCCCTTTAAGAAGGGAAATGGGAAATTTTGGGCCAGTTTTACTAACAGCTTGCGCCAGCGCAAACCGTCTTTCGGCGTTAAAATTTTACTGTCAGGTTTTACTAAAGACAGCAGTGATGAATTAGTGCTGAAAAGGCGTGGACACAGTTATTTTTGCGCTTGACCTTATTGAATATGTATTTGTAGAAGTTTCCCTTTCAGACGCAAAATTTATGGGAGGAAAGTATTTAAATGAATCACGCAACGCGTTTTACTAACGTTTGCGCTCGTCAAATTACTGCCATTTGCTTAACGCCCCAAAAAAGCATGTCCTAAACTATTTTGCGCTTGAAATGGCTGCAATTATTGTTGCTAGAGGAGGCACCGCACAGAACAGAGAGCTAGGATAGAAGGGAGAGGATTTTTTCCACACGTATTCATTTATTTTGAATGCCAGAAGAACACATTATGCGAACATATCGTTTGCCAAGACATGTTATTTTTAATTTGCTTCAGGAAATAAAAGACGACTTGGAACCAGGGCCGTCCTTAGGGGGGTGCAACTGGTGCGTTCGCACCGGGGCCCGCGTTTGAAGGGGGACATGACATAACACCCCCCTCCCCCTCCCGGAACCCAATCACGAACGGACCGCGGGGGCCCCGCAATACCAGGTCTATCAAAGCTTCAAGCAAACCTTCATTTTTTTGACCTACGGATCTTTTCAATGTTGCGACTACGCTAATTTGGGCTGCGCTTGGTATATTGCGTTGGTCGATATGTAAATGAGATGTTGCATCTGTGTTCTTTAATTTGCGCGTTGTTAGTAAATCACCCGCAGAAATTTCCCCTCCCATCGGCGCTGTTTTGGAATTGCACTCTCGCGCTAATTTGGCCAGTAAAGCTGGCCCTTTATATGCTCAATTCTCAGTGCTTTTTGTTTTTCATTTTTTCTTGGTTTAGGCTAGTCTTCATCGTAAAAAGACTAACTTGAGAGACCTTGAAAAGGATAAAGATCAGCTTAACAAGCGGATCCGAGAACTCAAACACAGGTACTTCAAAAGTGTATCGAAAGGAAACAACGTTACGTAACATTATCCTTGTACCATTTCCAGCTGTTTCATTATGACCCAACCCCTCCTCTCTGTCCAGCATAAGTCAGACGAAGTCAGCTGACACTCATGCTCGTGTGGAGAAGTTGAATCACATTCAGGCTGAGCTGGAACAACTACTAGCTAAAGACAGACGGGGTAAAATGAGGTTAGTACAGCTGTTGGTAAAAGTCTTTTCTATACACAGGGATCCCACTATGATTAGGGCTGTTGTGATTCGTCGATTCTATTTGAGTATTCGATTTTTTAAAAATCCCCAATTTCATTTTGCCCGCGTCGACTAACCGGCAGTATACCGGAAGTGAGATTCCACGGACCGCGCATTCTATGAATCTATGAAACGCATTATTAGACTGTTTTCCAAGGCTGCGTGATATATTAACCCATTTAAAAAACATAATTAAGCATACTGTTATTGTGAATTCACAAATCTGTGATTCCATTAAATAAATATATGCAATGCAGGTTTTTGAATTACTGAAATAAATGAACTTTTCCACGACATTCTAATTTATTGAGATGCACCTGTATATGCGCTTTAATTATTTACATGCGTGTAGGTTACATGCGTGCTTGTCAGAGTGGCTCCGTTCACAGTTAATGCTGCTCCACACAAACTGTTATCATTTACATTACATTTACATTTAATCATTTAGTAGACGCTTTTATCCAAAGCGACTTACAAATGAGGAGAACAATAGAAGCAATCAGACCAACGAGAGAACAACAGTATACAAGTGCTAAGACAAGTCTTAGTTAGTCTAGCACAGTACACGTAGCTAGGTTTTTTTTATATAAATAGAATGGAATAGAATAGGTAAGTGCTAGTATTAGTTGGTCAGGTGCTGGCGAAAAAGATGTGTCTTTAGATGTTTTTTGAAAATGGCTAAAGACTCAGCTGTTCGAATTGAGATAGGCGGGACGTTCCACCAGCTGAGCACAGTCCAGGAAAAGGTCTGTGAGAGTGATTTGGTACCTCTTTGGGATGGCACCACAAGGCGTCGTTCACTTGCAGAACGCAAACTTCTGGAGGGCGCATAAGTTTGAACTAGTGAGTTTAGTTCATAGCGGGTTCATTTGCATGTGTGGAGCGTATCAAACTCCATCTCTGCATATTGTTGTGAGTTTGGGTTTATTATAACGTTCATCTGGAAGCACAACGTGCGCCATTTCATCAGATTTGTAAAGCAATTAATTTATAAACCTAAGCAAACTCAGGAGAATACATATTGCGATTTCAAAATAAAAGTTTAACCCCTCACTCACGTTTACACGTTTTGATGTCCACATATTCAAGAAATTAAAGTGGCTATAGCATTTCTGTCATAATTGAAATGGCCAAATATTAAAGATTAAGTGGACATTTGAATTAAATGATGTTTGGTCAATTTTAAACAAGGATTAGATCGGTAAAGTGTAAAACAATCGTCAGGCAGTTGGCGCCCTCTGCAGGCCTTTGTTGTAATGCGCAATGTACATTAGCTCGATTGTTTATAATACATTATGTATTTTAAAGGGTTAGTTCACCCAAAAATGAAAATTAACCTGTGTTTTAACCTGTGACTTTCTTCTTTCAGACGAATCCAATCGGAGTTATATTAAAAATTGTCCTGGCACTTCTAAGCTCTATCATTGTAGTGGGCATTAAAGGGGTCATATTACGTTGCTAAAAAAGAACATTATTTTGTGTATTTGGTGTAATGAAATGTGTTTATGCGGTTTAAGGTTAAAAAAACACATTATTTTCCACATACTGTACATTATTGTTGCTCCTCTATGCCCCGCCTTTCTGAAACGCGTCGATTTTTACAAAGCTCATCGTTCTGAAAAGCGAGGTGTGCTCTGATTGGCCAGCTATCCAGTGCATTGTGATTGGCCGAATTCCTCAAGTGTGTGACGGAAATGTTACACCCCTTACCATACTGTGATGCCGTGTCATAGACTGTAAATGAACTGATTTCTAGTTGTGTCCTCTTTTGGAAGACCAAACAAAGTAGTTTCGCTCTCACAATGAAACACAGCGTCTCCACGACATGGCGGCAGCAACACTCCAAAGAGAAAGGAAAACTTGAAATCGCACCATATGACCCCTTTAAATAAAGCGCGCGCACCCGTAATAAAACGTGCCTCACACGGCTCCGTGGGGGTGAATGAAGGCGAATCCTGTTGCGAATCCATGCGTTTTTGTCAGAACAATATCCATATTTCAAACGTAATAAACACTTTTCTATCACTTCCGCTATCTGTCATACGCGGAAGCAGTTCCGGCAGATGACGTAGGACGTCGGCGTTGCGTGATTAGTGAAGAATGCGGAGCGCCGGTCATGAATTAGAAGCACAAAACGAGGATTTGTAAAGAAAAATGTCAGAGGATTTCGATATAAGCCATGAGGAGACTGGTTTTCCTTTGCTAAAGTAAGAAAACTTTGCTTCCTTAAACAAACGTGTGAGACTAGCATATCTCAGAGACGCTCGCATAAAGCATTCGTCCTACATCATCCGCCGGAACGCTTCCGCATACGACAGTCAGCAGAAGTGAGAGAAAAGTGTTTATTACGTTTGAAATATGGATAATTTTCTAACAAAAACGCATGGATTCGCTACAGGAGGCCTTTATTCATACCCCGGAGCCGTGTGAGGCATGTTTTATTACGGATATGCGCGCGCTTTATATAACATGTTTTGGACTGTTAAAGAGAAACACCCGCCCACTACAATGATACAGCTTAGAAGTGCCAGTGAATTTTTAATACAACTCCGATTGGATTCGTCTGAAAGAAGAAAGTCATATACACCTAGGATGGCTTGAGTGTGAGTAAAACACTTGAACAGTTTTGTTCAATAAAACCATATGATTACTTGCTTTTGATAGGGTGAAGTCAGCAAAATTGGGACACTTTTTGGTAAACTGTGTATTAAAAACAAATAAATCTATTCTACCAACACTATTTATTCTTTAAAGTTCCCCTATTATTTTTGAATAATAAGTGAGTATTACGTTTTGAATATGGATATTTTTCTTACAAAAACGCATCGATTCGCTACAGGAGGCCTTTGTTCACCCCCCGGAGCTGTGTGAGACACTTTTTTTTGTGGAAGGGTTTAAGTTCTGCATAATTAAGGGCGTGGTCACTTGAGTGACAGGTGGATTGCCGCTGCTGTCACCGCTACGGGTGACGTCACGGACACTACGTCCATGTTTTTATACAGTCTATGGGTAAAATAGCTGTTTCCCCGGAAACGGCTGTACACAAAGCAGGAAAATTAAATCGACCAATCGGACCAATCACCGCAGATTAGCGTCACGCAAACGAGGGGTTTGGAAAAATTAATCACTGAGCGAATCGTTTGGGAGTCGTTGAGCAAATAAGGTAAAAATAAATGCATATTATAAGACAATGAAAGTGTTTTTTGACCTTGCATGCATGTGAACCTGTTGTTGGGGACTCCCAAAACCAAAATATGAACCTTTCATAACCCATAATAGGGGCACTTTAAACAAATTCTCTTTAAACAAAGTCTCTTGTATCTCCCAGTATGTTTTTTGAAAGAATATTGGTTATTATTTTAAACATGCAGAGATTCAAAAATGTTAAGCACCCATTTCTTTTCTTCAGGCTTTTTTAGGTAAATTGGGACACTGCGTCTGGTAAAGTGGGACACACATTTTTATCTAGTCTGTGCTTACAAAATACTATTTCCTACAGCAGGACATTGTACAAATAATCTTTTGCAATAGAAAATCTTCAGAGTTTAAAAGAATAACTTCATAAAAATATTAATATTAGTGGATTGTGCTATTGACTGTGAACTCATAACCACCTAACGCTTATTGAATTAAAACACTTCAACAGAAGCATACATTTAAAGAATTATTAAAGCACTCCAACAAAAGTGCAAATGTAAGCATTTAAAACACTCCAACAGAAGGACAAAAACAAAGAATTGAATCACTTAAACAGAAATACAGTGTAGTGTAAAAATTTTGCCATTTCATATATGATGTGCCTGCTCCTGTGTGTGTACTGTGTTTGTATCCAACTGTCAGTGGATACTCTCCAAAATGGCGCTACGGTGACGCAGAGGAGACGAATTTTTGAATAAAGTCATTATTTTTCTTTTTGCGTACAAAAAGTATTCTCGTCGCTTCATTAAATTCAGATTGAACCACTGATGGCAGATGGACTATTCTGACGATGTCTTGCATTGCCCCCCTGAAAGAATTTGTGCCCCCTCAGTTTACTTAACAAACTATAATTGTTTAAACCATTAATAGATCATTTATTGGCGGAGCATGGGCACACTGTCTGAGTGCATAAAGTTGTGTTCCGTTTGCACAGATCAACGCCTGACTTAAAGCAGCTTGCATGTCATCAAAGCAGGCTACCGCAAGAGCGATTCGCAAGCAGACGCTGATTACGGTCATCGCAGATTCTCCAGCCCGGCTGCACAAGCTCTGATGAGGACAGCTAATTCTCTATTTACCAGACTCACTGTATTTCATGTCGTGCTTCGATAGGATTACAAACTCTTTTATATTAATAATGCTATAGCGTATTGTGTCATGTTTATCAAAATAGAACAGAATAGAAAAAGTAATTTACACACAAAAATAGGCACATTGTTCTAGATTGTTCTCATTTTGCCAACATTTCTTTCATTATTCTTAAAAGAAATGTTAATTATGGTGGCCTGTATGAGAGCGGCATTAAAGTAATTATTTGTAAATATTTGTGGCTTTGAAACTGCTGGAAAATTTAAAGTGTAGGCCTACTTCAGTTCTCTGGTTGTTTTGCCATTTAGAGTTATTAAAGTTAATTAAAACTATTAAAAACATTTCTGTTAATTGAAATAAAGTTGAAATAAAATAACATAAATATAAGCAATTAGCCTATATGAACGGAGAAAAACTTAATAAAATCACACATATAAAATAAATAAATTGGCCTGGAGCACTGGAGTGATGTTCAAAGCATAATAAATAATAGTTTAGCATTCAAATATATCATGAATATGGAAATATTTCTGAGTGGATTCGTGCCGAATAAGAGAGCTAGGCTATGTGAGCCCAGCACCCATTTCAGTTTAGGCAGCAGTGAATTCGTTTTGGGTTGATGTTTGACTACTAGCCTATGTTTCATTATTTTT